TCTGTTTCAATAAAACTTTATTTACAAGTGCAGGTAGCAGGCAAGATTTGGCTCTAGGGCTATAGTTTGCTGCTTGATATTGACGATGGAACTCAGAATATTAATAAAAATTTCTCACATTACATAGCTAAGTAGCATGAGGAATATAATTGGGTCTTATTTTAAAATATATATTTAATTATAGTTCAAATCTACCCATGGAATTCATTTCTCTCTATTCATTAAAAAAAAAACAAAAAACGACATAGTCATCTCTTAGTGTCAATGGGGAACTGGTTCAAGACCCTCCACAGATATCAAAACCTGTGGATGCTTAAAATTTTACATAAAATAGCTAGGATCTGCATGTAACTCATGACACCTCCTATGTATTTGAAATGTCTGCATTATTTATCATACCTAATATAATATAAATGTTATATTAAAGATTGCACTATATTATTCAGGGAATAATGACAAAAAAAAGTTTGTATGTGTTTCAGTATTTCAGTGTAGACACAAATTTTAAACAAATATTTTTTTTACTTTAGGTGGGTTAAGTTAGATGATGCAAAATCTGCAAAATGAAGGGTCAACGGTATTCTCTGCTAACGCTGCTCTAGACATTATTCTAGAGGTCAATCTGCTACCGAAAGGAATAAATAGTCATAAATAAAAACTGGTAAACAATATGGGTATAGTCCCTACCTCATAGAGCTAAGAGTCTGCAAGAATATCGTCACTCATTCCACATTCTTCTAGGTATAAGGAATGCTAAGGATAGACAAGAAACCTGCTCTAGTGAAATTCACATTCTTAGTAGAGGAAGATGGAATAGACAGAAAATGAATAATATAACATCACACAGGAGTAAATGTCATGAAGAAATTAAATAGCACAATATGATAGCAAGTCATTCAGCAGAATAGGAAAGGTAGGAAGTAATGGTGCTCAGAGAAGACTTTTGCATGAAGACTTGAATAAAGAGGAGGAGCCATCCATGGTAAGAGCTGGGGGAAGAATTTTCTGAGCTGAGCAAATAGCTTGTAAAGTGCCCAAGGCAGGAATGAGCTTGTCTGTTGGAGAAATAACAAGAAGGGCAATGTCATTTGAGTGTCTGGAATGTCGTTTGAAGGTAATAAATGATGAGGCCACTAAAGGGGTGTGGGGCAAATCACATAGGACTTCTTGGTAAGAAATCTGGATTTTGTTCTTATATAATGGAAAACTATAGGGGGTGGGGGGGTTAAGAAAGCAAAGGACACATTCCTATTCATTTTAAATTAAACCAATAACTGTATATGAGATGAGCACTATTTTTAAAAGCCTCAACGTAAAGGGTAGAGTCAGGGGTAAAGAAGGTCTGCAGATACCCATAGGAAAGGACCCACCAGCCCTAGCTCTAAAACCTGAGCTCCATCAATGAAAACAGGCTGGGGAGAACTCATAAGCTGTGACAGCTCCAACTGCCCAGATTCCAGGACCAAAATGGTGTCTATTCCTTCTTGGATCTTTTGATTTAAAAATGTAAAAAACAATAAAACCTAACTATTGATTGAAAAATTAACTCAGATTCTGAAGGGCTCCTCCCTTGCTTAAAAATCAAGGTTCTGTTCTTGAAAGGAATTTGGTAAAGACTTTTCCACAAACCTGATTTAAAAGAAATCATTCCTGTTTACTTTTCTTGGCAATTGCCACTTTTTCCAATTTCTATGCACAAATCAAAGATGTCTTCAAGTTTAGAGACAAATTATTAAAAACGTACTCATCTACTCTCTACTCATTTCACACAATTAGGAAGTCCCCCCCTCATGAAAATAAAGTCCCCCCTCGTGAAAATAAAACACAAGTATATCCTTTCTGGTTTACTATTGTACAGTCACCAGCCTGCAAAACATTTGGTAAAAGCAAAACACACCTTCTAAACATTCTAGAACATTTTATATTCTAAATACAAATATTTAAAATTTGCATCTTAGTAAAACTTTGACATATAAAAGGAAAATAACAATAACAATCCATAACAGATATGGATGTTAATACCTTTCTGTCGTAGAAATGTAGGAAGAGATCATGACAAAAGGGCAAACACACAATAATCATTCATATTTATTGTTACATATCCAAGATGTATTCACTGTCAGACAAGTGATACGTTTGCTAATAATATGAAAAGGAGCTATGATAGAAGAAAGTCAAACTCAGACACACACCCAGGTATTTCACCCAATAAAACTGTGATGTTGGGCATCAATGTCATGCTCCTCTTTGCTATCTGACAAGTCAAGATAACTTTGTCAGCCTACCTCATGTTAACTAAACAAGTTCCCATGGAAAGTTAGTCTTTCTCAATTAAATCCCTCATGTCAGTAGATCAGTGCCATAACAATTCCTGTGTTTATGGTGACCAGTAAATCATTTGCCCCCTTGCATACTTTTCTTCATGTTTAGTTGTAAGACCAGAGAAGTGGCAGAATGAAATTTGAGAATGTAAGTCTCTTAAAGTGACTTGTAATGATGGCTCATGTCTTACAAAGAATTTTTAAAACTCTACTTCACCAGCGTTCAAGGAAGAGAACAGATTAACATAAATTATCAACTAGCATTGGTAACACTCATTTATTCTACATCAGAAACGTTCCTGACAGTGATGCCATGTGCTGCATAATAATCACCATGCTTTGATTAATTATTTTGTCGAATAAATGGATGAATTAATTTCACTTACATACACTGATAGCCTGGGTTTCTGCAGTGCATGGCTTCTTACCCATTCCAATTAATTTGAATAAAAATATAAGTAGTACAAGTGGCAGTCTAGAATATACCAAATGGTTACAGTTTAAAAAAAAAAAGTCCATCTGATAGATAAAAATAAACATATATTACAAGAAATTTAGAATTTGGATTGAAGGAAACCTCTAATTAAGGGAAATTTATGAGAGCCTTTAGCAAATTCTCTGCTGAATGCATTTATTTGGTTTCTTGATCCTCCAACCAATCACATTAACAATGACAAAAGATATGCAAATTTAAACAGACAATAGTCAAGCCAAACTGCTCTGACTCATACCAACTGAGAGACATTTTCAGCAAGTATTCAGCCTGATTTGCTCTTGCAAGGGTCCATATAACCAAAGAACATTTCAGTAGTTATGTTTGGCTATATTCTGAGAGCTGTGCCATAATCATTGACCAAGAACAATGTAAACAAGAATCAAATTTATTTCACAAAATAAATTAACATACGAAATGTGTACATGACTTAAGCCCAGTAGAATTATGTGTTTACCCTGTCACTGCTGAATAATTGCATAGCAACACAAAATATGCATTTCTATGTTTGAATCACCATTTTCATTGTATGTTTTAAGCAAACAAAACATTACATTTTTGGTAGAATAGATCATTCATGACAATTTGGGACTAAATTTCCCTCTAGGTCCCCCTGAAAGAATTTAGACCAATTTATCATGATTGATTCTCATTAAAAAAAACTAGATGGGATAGTATATTAAGAATAATAACAAGCTGTTCAACCAAGCTATTCATTTCTTTACTATGGAAATAAGGTTTGCCAAAGGGAAAAAACTGACATTCTATTTGTAACTACTATCACCTGAAAATTAAGCTACAGATTTTAAAAGACTGCAGAATTCTATTTTCCTTCTTTTCTTCTTCCCACTTATTGATATTTCACCTGTAGTCTGTAATAAGAAGACTAACTGCAATTCCGAATTTGGAAACTCTAGAACAACCAAGTTCCAGTTAACATGTCAAATGAAATAACAGTGATCTTAGTTCAGTCCCTAGTGGACAAAAGTAGAACAACTATTACTCGGCATGATTCAGCAGGGCTGACCTAAATGATTGTGACCAGACAGCAACAAAAAAGAGCATTTGTCCCATCCCTATCTTTTATCCTCTTAAAGGGTAACAGACTACCTTTAAAGAAGCCCGCTCATGTCCCTGTCTATATGCACCAAGTGAATCTGTTAGTAATGATCCGGGGGAGAAGCTTTTCACAGACAGGGACATTACCACCATTCAATTGAATTCGCTTACTGCTGCTTACCTGTTACACAATTAGACAGTAAAGAGAGAAAGGTCTGCAGAAAGTGTCCTCATAGTTTAATAGGCACAGTTTCAATGCAAACTTTTCAGTGGTTTAGTTTGATTTCTATAAATTGGGATTGAATGCATATCCAACATCAACATTCATCTGGATATTGAGACTCCCAAATGGCACTAAAATCCCTGGGAAAGGAGGTACTTCAGGAATATGCAGAGCCTGCTTAAAGTGTTCAGTCTAAATCTGCAGGTGCATGTGTCTGTGAACAGCCACTGCTGGCTGCATTTCTCCTCTCATTGTGACAAGTAATCTCTTCCTGATGAGTCCACATTAAACCTTTTTCTTGATTTTTCTCAAGCACAGAAGAACTAGATGACAGAAATAAGTCCTCTATATCCTGCCACTTGTTGAAATTAACAGTTCCCTCTACTCATACAATTTATTCAACCAATAAATATTATAAAGATTGAAAAAATGGACATTTTGTGGCAATTGCAAAATCCTAGCTGCACAAAATTTTCTAGTGTAAAATTGATTTGATCCTCAATAAATATTGTCATTATGATTTTCTTTTTTCCACCAATTGGCTTAAAAGGTGCATGCTTTCTTTTTTTCTTTCTTTTTCTTTTTTTTTTTTAATTTGGATTTTGACAGACTAAACACTCAAGATAAACTTTTAAAAAGAGAAAAGCAAAGCTGTCATAAGGTGCCAGTATTAGATGCACAAATCCGGGGAGTGGGGAGCGCCCTGCATTCAAATGCTTACATAAGCCCAGAAACCTTGGCTTACTCAGAAAGTCAAACCGGAGAGCCCACTTGCATTCGCAAACACTGCCCCCCTGGAGCAAAAGGTAAACACACAAATGCCCCCCTAAGGAACGCTAAGTTAGCTGCAGACCAAGAAGAGAAAAGGCTCCATGCAATTAAGAAACTGAAAGCAATCACTTACTTTTTGTAGCCACTGAGTATAATTTTCCATCACATGCTCCAGATGTTGAAGTTTCTGGGAAGAGAAATCCGGTTCCACGTGTGGAGCATCTCTCTGCAGAGCGTTTGTGTTGTACTGGTCTGTCGTACTCTCACGACAGTTCCCGTCGTGTTCTGGAAGAATGAAAGTGTAGGCACATTGCCCATGTTGAATCCGGTTATATCTTCTCCCACCGTTTTCTGGACTCCGGCGCTGGTTGCTGCACCCTATGTGAGTCAGAATGGCAGCGAAGAAAGCAAAGGAAAGGAAAACTGTCATTGTACTGCCAGCACTCTCCTTCCGTGTCTCTCGCAAAACTTGCTCCTCTCTTCTGACCTTTAAACTAGTTCTTTATTTCAGGTAAAACTGCTTGTTTGTTTGACTTTTTCCCCCTCAAAGAAAGCGTTTGCAGAAGAATCATAGAAAACTAGCCATTTGTTAGCTTTGTTCTCAAATGTTATTTTTTTATTTCACTGTAATGATAGTTTCCTTCGTTAAAACTTGAGATATTTATTGCATAGTAGCTGAGATTTATTGTTTCCTCTCTGTGTAACCGTTCAGCGTGGAGCCTGCCTGAGTCAGCTGCCTGTACATACTCTAGACCCTTTCCTCTGCCCTATCTGCTGCAGATCTGCTATTTTCTCCCAGACCTCAGTGAGTTTTATTAAGGTTGCACATCCAAGCCAAGCTGGAAGCAGGCAGCCTTTCACAAGATGACTTGACAGGAATGCATGAGTGTGCCCCTATGCTAAGGATTGCTGATGGCTTTGGGCGGCGGATCGTCTTACAAATTGGCTAGATGCGCATGACCTCGATCATGTATGGGCCTCCCGCCCCTTCCGCAGACAATTGCCCTCAGCCTGTAGCAGATTAACGGGAAATCAATAAATAGAGCAGTCCACCTTAATACACTTTTGGTGTGTATGCTGACCTACTAAAATCCAACAAACCAGCTGTATGTTTTTAAAGTTACTATTTAATATAAAACCCCAAGGAAAAAAGTGGGCACAATGTCCAATGAAATTATTTTTAACAGTGAATGATAAATCTGTATAATTATTACATTTATTTAAAAAAAAAAAACTTTTATTTTTGACTCTGGGGAAAAATGTATTAAGAACTATTTTTAGAGAGGTATTGTTTTATTGTGTTCACTTAGAATTTTATGAGTTAGAGAAAGGAATTAAAGAGGATTAAATTATCAAGAAAATTACCCTAATTTGTCACTCAAAGCAATATAGCATGTGCATATTAAATAGAAGTATCAAAATACTTTGGGGATATGGATTTTAAATGAAGCTGGTTGCTTGATCAAAATGCAACCCTTCATGGAAGCTCTGTGTATAGAAATTGAGCAACTTCCCCAGAAAAACAATGTGGTTACAGTTTAAGACAGTTGCCTGAAATTATTAATTCCTGTGGTACATGCTAATCATATATTTCACAAGAACCTTCTTGGTGTTGCTATGTCTGTCTTTAACACTGGTATGGAAATTCCACATAAATCCTCTGTGGCTGCAGAGACAAACCATCTGAGAACAAGTATCTATCAGGTGTGCCAGTGGTCTGAACAGGAGAAGTCTCTGTGGTTTTATTAAGGAAGAAAGAAAAATGATCAGAAGGTGTTTTCCCAAATGTATAACATAAATATTTGAGCAAAAGAACCAGTAAAATACACAGAACAGGTGATGATTATAGAATTTAGAGTATGGCACTGAGAACTTTACTGGATGTGAGCAGAAATCAGGAGACTTCATCCAGAACTGGGCGGGTTCTCAAGCAACAAGACCCCTCAGTGGAGTCACAGTGTGCAAACAGAAGTCAGGGCATACTCTCCCATGTCCTGGAATGGGAGCAGGGCAGTGGGTGAAGGTCAGGAGTGGCTGGAGATGGGCCTTTAGGGAGAAGTTAGAGAAGTCAAAACAAATTCCAGAAAGAATGTAGTTTACTTTCGGGGTTAGGGGAACTTGCTGAGATTCATCAGTCCTTTCTACACCAATTAACAAATTTCTGATCCGACAGATAGGGAAGCAAGTTAGGCCAAACACAGCAATAAAAACCTTTCAGCCACTTTTGCAGTCTCCCCTTGTGTGGTCGCATGCCTCCCTGTTGTGTGGTATCACTGCTATGCAACAATAATGGCATTTATTAAGAGTTTACTATTTGTCAGTGCAGGATAAGCACACAGCACACACTATCTCATTTAATCATCCCAGCAAACCTAAGGCATGGACATTATGTTTAACCCTATTTTATCAATAGGAAAACTGACTCACAGAAAGGCTAATAGGTCACAATTCACATAGCTGACAGGTGATGTTGCCTATACATGAACTCAGGCAAAAAGGGACCCAGAGCCTATGTTTCTAAAGAACAAGCCAATCAACCTTTATAGTCCTCTGTGAGAAATGAAAGCAATCCCCAAGGGCTCCAGCTGAACTGATTTGCAGGCCTAAATCAGGGGAGTGATATGTACCTAGAAAAGAAAGAACTGAAAATTCAGTTTACTTCCAAAGTCATTTAATTGTTTTTCTGCATGCCAATCCCACCAAAAAAAAGTGACAGGTTTCCATCGCATGCACATCCATGAGGATAAGTGGTCCAGAAAAGCAAAGTGTCTGAGAATGCTTTCCTGCATTGCTTGCTTTGAAAATTATCCATGGAAAGAAGACAGTCCAAAACCAACACCTATAAGTGTTTTGTTAAGAACTAAATACAGCTGAAAACTGGCAGAAAACTAATGGATGAGTGGCAAAGTCTCTATGGAAGTGCTCCTGTTTTTTCAAACAGCTGCAACTGTTGAAAATCTGTCCCTCTGTGTGCTTGTCCACGTGAGCTTCTCCTGTCTGAACAAATGCGAAGAAGGAATGCACAATTTCCTGAGGGAAACATAGACAACCAAGAAAGGAAAGCCTGAAACACAAGTTCACAAAAGGGGGTGGAGGTGGGCAGACTAAGAGAAAATGATAGACTGATGTATTTCTTTGCCAGAAAAACAGAATTCATAATACTGGAAGCCCTAGGGTCAACCTGGAAAAATGTCTGAAGATCAATTTTAAACAATCAGAATATGGAGGGATGTGCAGGATCAACTCCTGTGTTTTGGAATTCCAGCTGGGCCACAGTAGGTACATTCCAGTGTCTCCACTCACTGAGGATAAAACACTTCAGGGCCAGGGATCAACACTGACCCTGATTATTCAGAAATGGTGCAAGAGTTGGGGATGTTGAAATTTATGGAAAAATGGGAAGAATGGGAAAATTCAAAAAAAATTTCATAACCACGGTTATGAAAAAGGTAAACTAAAAATTCTAAAGAACCAAATAATTCTATTTAATTGAATTCTGAGGTGGCTTGATTTTTGTTTTTAATGCTTTACATTGTTGTTAGAGTAGGAGAACTCTAGAATCAGAAAGTGCTTTAAGGTTCTAGACTCACATCTACAAATTGTCGTGGTCAATGTTGAAGTTTCCGGTGGGACCAGGAACACTATTTATATGGGAATTTAATGGCTCTAAATCGGTCTTAAGAGTCAGTTTTTGTACTTCCTATGTGACACTTTCCTGATTTCAATGAGGCCCACTCTCTCTGTTGACTTTTAACAACTTTTTCTTCTTATCTCCAATATAGCACAACTCACCTTTCTGTTTCTAAATCAGGGAGTGATGGTACCTAGATGGTACCTTTCTTTTTTTTTAAGTTTTGTTTTGTTTTGTTTTTTGGGGGGGTTGTTGTTGCTCTTGTTGTTAGTCTGTCTCCCCCTGTATCTGTGAGCTTCTAAAGTGAACTCTCTTTCATCATTAATTTCCAACACTCAGTGCGCATTCCCTTTGTAGGAGTGAAAGAATGAATGAATGAATGAGTGAGTGAGTGAATGGACTAATTTTTCAATCGGTGTAGCTTTCTGATTATCTGACGACTACAGACTGGCCATATCTGTTGCATTTGTTGGGGAGATTTGCCTAGAGCCTATACACATAAGGGATAAGGGATGAGGCCATAAATCTAAAGGGTGAATTAGACACAAGAACACACTACAACAGTAGTATGTACTTAGTGCAATAATAGTATGAACATGGTACATAGTATAATAGTAGTATGTACAAAAATAATAGTATTTTTTACCCTTAACAAATTGCTTTTTCACTAAATATTTACAGAACTCCCACAATTAGGTCTTATTATAATTCCCATTTTGCAGATGAGAACATTGGGGCACATAGAGAGGAATTTCCAAGATCTATGATCTATTATATAGCAGAGCAGTAATTTGTTCCTTAATTCATGTAACTCTGATCTATATTGCTTACAGGTATATTTCAGTGTTAGGAAATAGATATAAAATATTTCTTGGAATTTAGGCAACAGGAACAGCATGGCACCTATAATTATCATTAGTCCTCTCTTCTTATCCACACCCTCAAAACGGGGTTAATATTAGGTCAGAATGCACCCATGTGGTTGTCCCACCTGCTTTTCAATAGACAACCTGATTGATCTGCCTGTATTTTGAATTCACTCTGAATGATTAGTCTTTGCCACAACATCTGTTACGGATCTTGACTGACATTGCAACTTTAAAATAAAATTAAACTATGAAAATTTAAAAAGAGTTTCTTTTTGAAAAACCTCATTGTGAACTAAAATCAAGGAAACATTCTTCTGGTATTCATACAAAACTCTATGATGGCAGGTCAGGGACAGCCTCCTCCCTTTGGCCTGAGCACAGTGTGGTTCAGCATGCTCAGGAGTCCATATACTATCACTCTGCTCTGGTGCTTTCAGGGATCAAAATTATCATCAGGGTTATGGAAGCAGCAGCTCTAACAAGAGAACATTTCTTGTGTGCTGAAGTGAAGCCAATACACTCAACTATGTAGGCAGCAAAGACAGAAATACCACAAGGGGCTACATCAGAAAAAAAGGTAGACAATACTACCAAGTGACTGACAGCCCTGTGTGGGTACATGTAATATATCCCTCAAAAACTCTCAGGCAAGTTGAGAGGCCTTTTCAAAGAGCAGTGGACACTGCAGCAGGTGGGGTGGGGGCTAGAGATATGTAGGTATACATATGGCCCTACCTTCTGATGAGAGAGAGTGCTGGTAATTAATGACTTGCTCTCTAATTTAGTTTTTAACTATAGCAAAGCAAGTTGCAAACAGTTGATACAGAATTAATTTGTTCTACCTTAAAAAAATAAGGAAGGGAATAAGATACTCAAGGAAAGATATGGAAATGGGGGGTTGAAGTTGGAGAGATTTGGAGGTTCTGTGGG